AAAAAAAAAAAAAAGCAAAAAAAATTATACAAAATAAAAAAAAAATAGAAAAAAAATGTGGCCTGGCGTATGGCAACCTGAAAAATAGTAGAGATTTCTGTGGTAGTGTTTACAATTCTGAACGGTGATGTACAACAACAACAAATCCACCCCATCTGCCAATACTGCAGGGGTAATTACCCACTCCCACCCACCTTTTTTTTTAATGAATATAATTGAAAAAAATGTATTATTTTGGGTTTAAAGGTAGTGGAAACGACTACAGAAAAATGTGATTGAAGTTCAACCTATGTAAACATAATTTTCTTTTTGTTTTTCCACGTTAACTACCTCTAAAATCATAATTTATTACACGTTGTATACCAACATCAGGAAGAAAAAAAATCAATGCTGACTGAAATCGACCAGAGAGGGCATGCAGAATCTTTTATCGTGAGTTGGTAGCAGCAATGTTTTTATTATTATTTTTATAGCCAGATTGGCTTTTTCCATAGATGGAGAGATATATATTAGAGGAAGACTGCTGTAGAGTGCTTGCTGGGAACAAATAAAAATAATAAGAGTTTAAGAATGTATTTGTATGGCCTGGTTGACGGGTGTCTGGCAGACGGGGCAGAGCGGCATCTCTTTCTGGCAGATCTTGTGGGCGCACTCCATGCAGAAGAAGTTGTGGCCGCAGGGGACCAGGGCGGCTATGACTTCGTTGTCGAAGCAGATGACGCAGTCGTGTTTGCGCCGGGTCTCCGGCGGGGAGCTGGAGGTGGAGCCGCCGCTGGAAGAGGAGTAGCTGTTGGTGCTGTTGGAGAACGCCGGGATGTAGATGGGAAGCCCGGCCTCGCTTGTGCTCGAGAGGTCACTTCTAACGCTTCTGCCCAACGGGTACTCCAGACTTTCGGGGAAAGTGGGGGACATGCTCCCCCTGCGCTGAGATTGAGCCGTGACCTCGCTTCCGTAGCCGGCGAGTGGATTTCCCTGGTCGAAAGTCGCCCATAACGGCTCAGACGGCGATGGTATTGGATCAAAGGCGGAGGCGTCGGCTAGATCTTCTGAACCGACTGGGGGCATGGCTTCACCGAACCAAAAATTACTGGCGCCGAAGGGACTGGTTGGGCTAAAGTCGGCCAGCCGGTTGCTTCCCAAAAACGAATCCGTAGAGCCGCTTCCCAAGGAGCTCGAGCTGTCGTTCCGGTAGTTGGAAATCATTTTATTACGGCCCGGGGCGGTCGGGTTTGTATTTAACCACGATGAGGTTAGGCAGGCCCCTTCGAAGCTGACGTCTGTACCGTTATAGTGAAAGTCGTTCTCTTCGTTGAGCTCGATGTAGTTGCCGGTGCGCATGGCTATGTGCATTTCGATCTCCTCGCGGGCCCGGTCGACGTTCTCAGGCATCCCCGTGACTTCGAACACCGGCTCTTTGTCACGGCTTGGAGTGACGATGTAGGTGTGGGTCTGCTGCTGTATACGTTTTATGGTGGCTCCCTTTGGCCCTACCACCAGGCCCACCACGCGGTAGGGGACACGAACCTGTACAGTGGTTTGACCCGGAAGGTTAGGGGTGCACTGAGTGCTGCTCACGGCAGGGCCGTTTTTGTTGCGAGATGCTCGGATCATGGAGAAGTGTTCCGCCGCCGACAAGATTTCCCTTTTTGCCATCGCTACATCTTCTTTTCTCCCAGTGACGACAAATACTGGTTCTTCGCCACGGACTGGGGTCTTTATGTAGGTGTTTGTTTTCGCCCTCAGCGCCTTAATCTTGCATCCTACATGGACGATAAACCCAAAAAGAGAAAAAAAAACGTTACTATAATGAATAGAGATACACTTCAAGAAAACAAAAAAAAAGGAAACACTTCTCAAAACAACTAAACAATCTGCACATTGCTCAAAGCACACCTAAGAGAAACACATAGGCCGCCATTGATGACCTCGTTGGACAAATGCTCCGGACGCCACTTAAAGGGGGAGTGCCGACCCACAAAGACAGTGGTCTCTCCCCACCCAGCTCTTAGTAACCTGGGACACAATCGCCAGAGTCCCGCCCAGCTGGCAGCTAGTAATGTCACAGGATAGCGGCCAGAGCATCCTAGGTTGCCAAGAGCCAGGCGTGGAAATGTGTAAGGGCCGTACACATCTCCCCGCCCGGCTCTTGGCAACTAGAGTGGACGGGGAGATGTATAAAATGGGAGAACGCCAGCCAGAGCCTCCCAGGTTGCTAAGAGCCAGTTGGGGAAATGTGTATAGCCATTACATATGCCCACACCCAGCTCTTAGCAACCTGGGAGGCTCTGGCTGGCAACCCACCCAGCGCCTAGCAACCAGTGACTGGCTGCCAGGAGCTGGGCGAGACGCCAAGGGTGCATGTTGCTATAGATACACCTCCGGTTGCAGTGGTTTAAGGCTCCTGCTTAGATCTCAAAGCAGACTTCATGGGCAAATGTTCCTGGAAAAGTTTCTGACCAATCCAAGAGCCAAGTAGTCATTACACCAATGAAAGCACAGCTAGTGCCCGATGTTTTGAGATTTTTGGAAAACATTCATATGCTATTCAATTACGCAAAACGTGACTTGAGTACTGACATCAGAGCTCTACCCCACCCAACACATGAAGGCCCCATAGTCAAGTGTAAAAGGAATGGCCAGTGTGTCAAATTATGGTTGTTTGCCCATGGATCCCGAGTTTTAGGGCTCCTGAAGCACCCATTAAAAATAGGCAAAGGGTAGGTGCAGGCACTTCTAGGTGCAGACTCTGTACTCCCTGCAGCATTCTACACTGGGCTCGTCTGCTGGGTGCTCTTGCCGGTCATATTGAAAAGCCTGCTAGGCCCTCGTGGCTTGCTGGGTCACTTTGCTCCTCTGAGTCTCAGACCAGAGTAAGAGGATGCAAGATGGAGAGTGTCTGAAGATCCCGTGCACAGATGTCCCATAGGTTAAATTTAGAAGTGCTCCAACAATGAACACTTTTGTGTTCAGCGACATCAGAATCACAGCAGCAGATGTGTCTGATTTGCACTGGAGGGAGGCAGTTCAGGCATGAAATGAGGTGAAACACACAAAGAAAACAAAAAAGGGAAGAGGGATCACCAACACTAGTATCAGTGCTGAACCCCGAGTATTTGGGCGAGTACTCATACTCCGATACAGGAACTCCTGGTCAGAGGGAGATCTCCCTCTGACTGGAAGGGAGCATAAAGTGGCTTCCTGGCCAATCAAGAAGCTAGGCGGCGGGTTATGACCCAACTCCCTGATTGGCTAGGCAGCCTGGCTTCATGATGTGCTGCCTGGCTTCCTGATTGGTCAGGAAGCAGGTGTTTCAATAGAACACTGGCTACCTGATAATCCGGGCCCACAGATGCTGGTACTGTTATTGCCGAGTACTGGGAAAATAAAGAAATAATAATTCGGTACTCTATACCGAAAAACCGATATCTGAGATATCTTATATAAAAGAGAAAAAAAGTTTTAAAAGAATATATACAAGAAAATAAAAAAGACGAGAAAGCACAGAGACGGCTTTCTGGCCAATCAGGAAGCCGGACGCTGTGTAATGACACGTCATGAGGTGACGAGAGAGCATGGAGCCGGCTTCCCGGCCAATCAGGAAGCCGGGCAGTGTGTAATGACATATGAGGTGACAAGGGAGCATGAAGCCGTAAGTATCAGAGCATTTGGGCGAGTATGAGTACTCGCCCAAATACTCGGCATCGGCACTGATACTAGTATTGGTATCGGTGCATCCCTACAAGCAGTTATGATGCATTTACATAAGTAAACACCGATTACACAACACTTTAGGTATCTACGCACGTTAGAGGAATCATTTCAGGTTAGATACATTTTGCATTGGTCATCTCTGGTCTTTAATATTCAATTCAAAAAATGAATAGATTATACGGCGCGTGTGCGGCACTAATAATAAAAGTGAAGTGCCATTTTACTGCATATATAGGATTTCATAAACATTTGTGCCGGGTTTCCATTTTTCAGCGATATTACACTGGCCCCCCCTTTACTTTTTGACCACCCAGTTGGGCCCCCTTAATCAGACGAGTGGTCCGATCAGGTCCGCCTGTCAGTTTTTCAGGGTCGGACCTGACTGGGTGTTCAATGTTCTAGTCCGGGGGTAGCCAAATTCCGACCCCACCAGCTGTGGTGAAACTACAAATCCCACGATGCATCTCTCTCCGGGAGTCATGTCTGTGGGAAACTTGCAATGCCTCACGGGATTTGTAGTTCCGCCACAGCTGGAGGGCCTGAGTTTGGCTACCCCTGTTCTAGTCTATTGGCAGCCGGGTCTAAACGGACAGGCGTCCATTTACACCCAGCTCCGACCCAGGTCTGGAAAAAACAAATGGGACAGCGTTGCGGTTTGCTGGACCTGATGTGCCGGATGAGGAGAAATCTGATGCAAATGGGGACACATGTCCGTTCACATCCGATTCTCCATAGAGCGACATGGGGTCCAGTCACTCCACCCTCAGCGGCGACATGCAATCCATATCCGATCAGGAGGGGATCCGTGCATCAGCCCGAGGGACAAAGGGGCCTTATTGTTTCATCCCACCTGGCTGGAAATAATTTAAAAAAAAGGGAACAAGAAGGGGGAGGGGTTTCACAGTTTGCCATAGGAAAACTACAATTTGATTACATGCCTCTGTGTCCACAGATAAATAATAAACTCGTTCCTATTTATGGCAAAGCAAACAGAATGACATCACCGAGAGAGTTGAAAAGTTCAAGCTAATAGTGATCCTGATCCCCAGGAACTGAGAGATGTGCCAACAGGAAGGTTTCCCTGATATTTACTAGGAGGGTTAATGTGTATATAACCCAGAAATATATTTTTCTGTATGATTGGAATCACGTCTCGCTGTATAGTTCCCCTGTGTGGGGATGAGCTCTCGCCATAATGTTTGAGTATGTATGGCATCGGTGCACAATAATGGCACACTTGCATCTTCCTGTGCCCTCCTTCAGCAGTGTCACACCCAGGTAATAGTCCGCTCGCCATCTCTCGCAGCAGTGGCTGAGCACAGCGCTCTGAGAAAAGAGCGGACTGCACGGTCAGGCAAGCAAAGGGCTCGTTCATGAGGGGCTTGGGTGGAGAGTCTGTCCTGCCAGCCAAGCTGGACAGAGGGAGGTGTGTAGTGTGCCCCCCACGGTAGAAGCAGCTTTTGCAACGTCCATCTGCCACTGCAGCAGGGAGACTGTGCAGAGCGCGCCACCGATCCCTCCACCCTCTCCGTTCTATAGTCCAGCCATGCTTCCCCCAGCCCTGTAAGTGCAGGTACAGATGGGGGGAAATCATTGGAAGCGTCTGTGCATTACATCCACAAAGTACTGATCACAGGTGCAATGCTCTGCAGGCTTCATTGCAATAATGAGTATATGCACAACGATCATTAGATGGTGGACCGAGCCTTTAAATTCTGCACTTCTTGACCCCTGCCAGAGACAGAAAAGCCAATCCTTAAAAAGTGTACTTTACCCTCCTCAAATGATAAAAAGGATCACATGCCCCAGTGCGAGATAAAGGAGAGGACGTCCAGAGAGACGAGATGGATGGTTAAGGCTGGGTTCCACCTAGGCGTATTGAATATGCGCGTTTGTCACGCGTTTGTCGCGCATTTTTACCACGACTCATGGTAATAAAACGCGCGACAAACACGCGTTTCCGAGGGCTACCTGGCTGTATCCCAATGGATACGTGCGGCAAATACGCCCCAAAGAAGCTCCTGTACTTCTTTGGGCATAGGGCGTTTTGCAGCGCGTTCATACGCGCTGTAAATGCCCAGGTGGGAACCATGCCCAGGCAATCTTAGGTTTTCACATGTTGAGCGTTTAACAGAGCGTAGGAATGCGCTGTAAAACGCCCAGGTGTGAACCAGGCCTTCAAGACCCCTCCAGAACATGGACATGTACAAACTCCATGCAAACCACGAACTCAGCGCACAATGGCAAAGATGCATTGCCAACCACTGAGGAGCCATGATACCAAGATGCAACCACTGGCCCCATGTTCTCTTCTCCCGCATATTCTGGGGCCTCCATTGAAATTTGCAACCCTGAAGAGCAAATCAAATCTTTCCTGACATATCAGAACTTTCATTCTCTCACATGTGACTGGAAAATGACAGTCGGGATCCTCCGCTCAGGTGGAACACATTCAGTCATGTAGAAAAGAACATACACAAGACACGCAGATCTAAAGCCAAAAACTTTTCTTTTACATTTTAGATAGAGTAAAGGAGGGTTACACCCCTCAGTCCCCCCCCCC